TGACATTTAGAACCAACACAAGTAACTTATATTCTTGTCAAATGTACACAGTAACTGATAATGTATGTGGGACTGACATTTAGAACCAACACAAGTAACTTATATTCTTGTCAAATGTACACAGTAACTGATAATGTATGTGGGACTGACATTTAGAACCAGCACAAGTAACTTATATTCTTGTCAAATGTACACAGTAACTGATAATGTATGTGAGACTGACATTTAGAACCAGCACAAGTAACTTATATTCTTGTCAAATGTACACAGTAACTGACAATGTATGTGAGACTGACATTTAGAACCAGCACAAGTAACTTATATTCATGTCAAATGTACACAGTAACTGACAATGTAAAAACAGTATTTTTGTAAAACTTGTAAAAAACATTTACTTTAGTTTGAGCTAATTTTCTTTCACATACAAAAATAGTGCCAAAAACTATAAAACATTAGAAATGTTAATTAAAGTTTAAGTGTAGTAAGTTCCTTTTAATGAAAGTAATATATAACTAGATGACACTCAGTAGAGCACATACCTCTGCCATGCAGCAGTGATCCTATTCGACTTTCATAAAATATTAACATGTGTTCATATGTCCGTCATTATCAATGGACACAGACCATTTTGGGCAGGACAATAAGGAATAATATTCGACATATATCCATCAAGTTACATCAAAATCCAATCATTTTTTGACTGAGTGATAGAGCAAAAATAGCGTGAAAAATTGGTCGCCACGTTAATAAATATGGATTTTTTGTATTTCTTTGACCTTGACACTTCAAAAATAATCCCTTCGAAGTTGGGTCATATTCCAAATGCATGCCAACTTTCGTCCAAATCTTGCTGACAAACACACACATACAGGGGTGAAAACATAACCACCACCAAAGGTTTGATTTTAAATATTAAAATTTTGTAATGGATTAAAAACAACATATTTTATAAATCTTTATTTTACGGCCATTTCCACAAAATCCTTCTACAAGCACCTTAACCCTTTCCACCCAAGTACCTCTCACTACAGGTTCAGTCGATTACACCAACCTTGTGTATATAGACTATACTTTTCTCAGTATATCTTATTTGTACAAGTCTCACCTGTAGTCTGTCTAAAAACTATGGACAGTAGTTTCAAAACATGTTCCAGCTTATTTATTTCATACATTATTAAAACTGATCTAAATCTAACCTTGTTCAACTTTGGGCATGATGGTTGGTAAAACAAAAGATGCAGCCTAGCTAACTAATGAAGGAATATTTGCTGTAAAATTATTAACAATGCTATAAGTGTAGCTACCAGTTTGGCTGCCAATTTTGACTTCATTTCTTTAAGTCACATCCTTTTTTTAGCCACACCTCTTTTCACACCTAAGTGAGATAAGTACAGTCTATTTAGGTTAGTTTTAATTACATTTGACATATTCTACAGTACAATTTTTTGTAAACAAAGTGGGCTAGAGCATGACGTCATTAGGTTAGTGGTTGTGTTTCTTACTACTAAATAATTTCATTACTGCAATGAAACAGATAAAAGACAAATAAAATATCTGTACAAACATATAAGATTAGCCTAAATCTTAAAATCAAACTTACCTTTGTGGGATAAATAAGATGAGTTTCAAGTGTACAGCTACAGTAATTTTGTGTAAATGTAATTTATATATAAATATGTCACTCAGTGGTTTTTACCATAAATTTACCAATATTGGTTGAAAAAGTTGAATGGTTTAAATGTTGATATTTAAGGGTTATCAATTTTTGTAAATGTCTATAGAGAAATGACTGAAAAGCCTAAAGAAACAAAAAGCTGGGAGTACCTTTTGTAAAGCAGATATGCTGTTCCTTGAGGAAGGCTGGGGCCTGGGAAGATGCTGTGGAGGTGGTGCTATTCCTGCCAGACTCTGAGTCCACTCTCGCAGTCCTACTAATATTCCACAACGACTTTCTGAAGTTACCGCGTGTTTCGAGCGAGGGTTGCTATGATATGAACCAGAAGGTTTTGAGCCATTTCCCGATGAAGAAAAAGACTGGCTGTGCAAAACTGGTTGCACAGCTTGAGTTGTGGTAGTGGGAGGAGACGAGACCGAGACAATCTTGGAAGTCGGTAACTTCATGCTGGCAGCAGGTGACGCTCCCTGAGGGAAATGTGGTTGAAGAGACGAACTTCTGGAACAAAGAATTATAGAAATAAAACACCTTATTCTCTTCTACCTTCATATATATAACAATATCATGAAATAAACCATAATAGTGGATATTTATAAAACTGACCAATAATATGAACTGTATAATACAAACGGTACTGATCAGTTAACACATGTACAACCCTCTCTGTTAGCTGCTCTCTTTTCATGCCATGTTTAGTTGTTACAGCCACGAGTTTACTGATAACAAGAAATAAGTTTCTCAAAACAGATGAATGGAGTGAGATTATTTATTGAATTTCATGATATTTCATCATTAACTACTATCATTAAAGTCCCTATAACATTAATTAACATCATTAAAGTCCCTATAACATTAATTAACATCATTAAAGTCCCTGTAACATTAATTAACATCACTAAAATCTCTGTAACATTAATTAACATCGCTAAAATCTCTAACATTAATTAACATCGCTAAAATCTCTGTAACATTAATTAACATCGCTAAAATATCTGTAACATTAATTAACATCACTAAAATCTCTGTAACATTAATTAACATCACTAAAATCTCTGTAACATTAATTAACATCACTAAAATC